GATGCATTCTGGTGCGGATTCTTCATGAGTCCTGCGAACCGATGAGAAGCAATGCGGCCATGGCCATTGACATTAGCAGAGTCTACCAGGACCCTCCAAGGGGTGTCCAATGAACTACCCCACACTACCTATTTGCTTCCATTGGGCACCCCTTGGAGGGTCCTGGTATTCTTGAGCCACCGCATGTGATTCGAGCTTCGTGTCCTACCAGGTACAGAAGGCGAAATCATTTGTGCTGATGCGGAGGCAGGACGTAAGTTTTGGCCGCTGTTCACTCTTGAAGGTCTGGTTGGCAAGAGACTGGTTAAAACTAGAAGTGTCTTTGGTTGGGTCGTTTGAACAGAAGCTGGATCTTTTGTGGACCCATCTCAGGTCTCACCTGGCTCCAGTCTTTCGACCAGAACCCCTCAGGCTTATGGGGCCGCACCACCCGTTGGGGCCCCCATCACCACCGCGTCGATGAGGACGAAACCTCCACTGACTGGCACCAACGGCAAGCCGTGCTGCGGACGGTCCGCGGCACGGTCGTGTGCCTTGGGAACTTCAGTGTCGGGCGCTTCGCGGCACAAGGAGAAGATCGGGGTCGTTTGAGCTCTCTCTTTTGTGCAAGGATCACCCCACAAGTGGCCCCAAGTCGAAGACCCGCACTTGCTGAGCTCCATCCTATGTCATCCCGACATTCTTTCGATCCAAAACCAAGGGCCCAAACGGCCCAAAACGACCTCCCGCCCGCGTTTGGCGACCGACGTCGTTTGGTCTGTGGAAGATCCACCTGTTGGAGGCCTTGGGCTTCACAACATCGGTGCTAGGAGCAGTGCGGACGATGGTCGGCCTTGGTCATGCGGACGATGTCCAAGGCCGAATGCTAGGAGCAGAGCTAGAAACAGATGATAAGAGGACAGCAAGGCTGTTGGATTTCCAGGAAAAACCATGCAACAGCCTTGATGCTGTATGATGCTGTAGCCCAGAAGGTATGCAGAAGGTATAGATCAGCAGAGAACCGAAACAGTCCCAACGTCCACATCACGAGAGCAGAAAACACGCCACGTGGTGCGCGCGCGGCTTCTTGCAGCCGCGCCGCGGACCGAGGTGCTTTCGGATCGAAAAGATAGGTCTGAAAGACGCGCAGGCTGGGCGGCCTGGGATGACGGAGCACCATGGACAGCTTAGTTCTGAGCTCCTCACCTGCTTGGGTAAGACCACCATGGTTTCATCTGATGCCCAGTTACTGATGCCACGGGCGAGGGGAATGTGGATGACCTGCAAGGACTACATAGATCCTTTCATGACCGTCCTGGTGGCGGATTCGCGCGCCAATATCTTGGATTCAAGAGATACGTGGGGTGCCCAGTTGGATGAAGTCCAAGTCCACCAGAAGTGGCAGGCGTATGCGGGCGTGGTACTTGTTTTATTTTTGTTTTTAAATTAATGTCCAGAGTTGCGCCAAGTTTTGTCGCCTGAGAACAGTGCCCCTGCTCCAGACGATTCCGCGGTAGATTCTTGGAGGTATACATGTGGAGGAATAACACCCCATGACTCATAACTAGTCTTCAGAGCTATACGACATTCATCTATGCGACTCCCATAGCGAACACCTCCCTGGCACCACTCAGGAACTTCGCATGTGAGCGACGAGCGACGCATGTGATGTTCACCCAACAGGCCCGCGGGCGGAGCTGCCGAGCTGCCTGCGTCACCCGGGCCAAGTGGGGGGTGACAGTCAAGAACACCCAGAACGATCATCCGGGTTTGATGGGGTTTGATGGGTTGATCATCTCAAGAATAACCAGATCGAACCAGTCTCAACAGGACTGCCATTGATTCATGGCAGGTCTACTTGAATGTCTCCCTGGAGGACATGGAGAGATCGCACCGGGCCCAACACGGTTGGTGGGACACGGACGTGGAAAACAAAAACGGTCAGCGTCTTGTTCAGTGTCTTTAGCGGATGCTTCCAGATACCATCCCTCAGACTATCACGGAACTAGAAGATGTCCCCTCGCACTCTCCGAGTTGTTTGCTCCAATAGCTGACCAGTGACGACTCGAAGAGGATCTCAGGGTCCCCTTTCTTTGTGGGGTTATTGCCGGAAGCCACTATTTGGTGATTTGGCTTGAGCCGGTGGTAGAATCATGGGGAGCCGAAGTCAATCATGCATGACGCATGATGTAGATGTGCAAAAGCCTGATCTTGGAGTGCTGGGCTTCTTTCCCTGCCAGGATAGCTAGAACTGTCCGAGAAGTATGGTTCATGGAAAACATCCTGCACCACTTGTGACGATGATGCTCAAAGCACCGAATACCCAGCGGTGCTTGCCGTGTGTCTTTCTTTCATCAACCGACTGGGCTGTGTTATGATTACATGGGCGTGTATCAGAATAGGGAGACATCCAGTTGGACCCCAAATTGACTAGAACCCATTGGCGCAGGGTAGGAGCCTATTCGGGCTACGCACCAATATGTCTTCATCTTCTTTTCCGAAGCAATGTCTTGTGCTGGATTGGTTTTGCAGAGGATGTGGGTTTTGTGCAGGTGTCCCAGTTTTGTAAGTTCTATATGTCTTATACAATCTAGACAAATAGAATCAGCTTTGCGAGAGTACCTGGAGAACGGATGCGCCGCTGCAGGGGTGCAGCAATATTCTTTGAGTTCAAACACTACAAGCCCAAGAAGAAGAAAATCTCCACGAGGCGACACACGCGGCCGCCGCCGCGGTAAGTACGACGCGCGGGCGAAGACGGGCGAGTCTTCGCCCTGCTGGATAGCCCTGGCAGCCAGAGTCCCCGCAGTGCCTGTTGCAGTCCCCGTGGTCCCTGTGTCCGCAGCTTGTAGGTGCTGGTGTTTCATGGAGCTCGCTGAGCTGAAGCGAGATGAGGAGCGGTTTTTTTTGAAAAAAACGCACCGTTTCATGGCGCTTTCAGACGCCAACCGTACTGGGATGGATGCATCAAGTGTCTTCCAGAGGTAGCTGGTGCAGGTTCCCACTCTTGGAGGGTTTTCCTCGTTTCAAGCCATTGATTGCCGAACATGGAACAGATGCCAGTCTCGTCGGTCTTGCTGATTCAGGAAGTTGTCCTGGAAATCTACCATAAGCCCACTGATCTGAAGAGCCTTGGAATAGGACACTGACCTTTCTGCGTGGAAACGGTGCATTTGCAGTCGGTTTGCTTTCGGTTTGCAAACCCTCCTATCACTTTCATCCCTGCCAAGACAGGTTGAGCCCCTTTTTCGCGCATCCCATATGTACCACAGACCAGGGTCCTAGTTCTGCTCTCTCAACCGCTCTTGGTCCCACTCGTCAGTTCGTTTCGGTGGGATTGTGCAGCCGTTCCTTGGACCGAAGCCGCCATCCCGAACCCGGGTGTGGAACAGTTACTAAACCTTTCCCTTCCACACCAGTTCCACCGGTTCCGAATGATGATCGATTATCGACCACCCTTTTTTTCGATTCCTCTCCCTCTCTTTTTATTCCTCGAACATCGACGCTGACAGTGGCAGAGGTGCCAACATGGGTGTCGGCCCTTCCGAAGCAATGAGGTCTTATGGTCTTGTTTTTTTGTGCCTGAAAGCCGTACACGAGGTCCCAGCGCGTCTTCTGCGAAGTCTCCCCTAGATGGGAAGTCTCCCCTATATTTTTTCGCTGATATATATATATATATATACCGGGATCATCCAATGGGTGTCCAATAGACTACCCTACCCTACTTACAGGTCTCCATTGGGCACCCGTTGGAAGTGCTAGGTACATGATTGTGAATGATGCATCTTCCGAGGAAGAAGAAGCTAAATCTACATTCTGAAAAGCCGTCTGCCCAGCATGCTTATGCCCAACTCGCCGTTCTGGTCGTGCGTTCGCCCAGAAAGGAGGAGCTCCTTTTGGAGCCGAGGTGTTCGAAAGCTCGGCTCGGCTCGAAAAAAGGGGCGCAGGCTTTTCCGAACCGCGCATCCCAAACGGAACGAACGGCGCCCTTCCAGTCGGTCTTCGAGCGCCGGGAGTTGACCGCTGGAGCGGTCTGTCCGGTGGGCAAGCAGATAACGCCCAGCACACACACCACTGGAATGCGCCCACGTTCTATTTTTTGGTGAATGGTGCATCAGCACACCCACTGAAGTTTTTGTTGCGCCACAAAGATGGTGTGGCCTCTTTCTAAGTGGCCGAGAGACGCCGAGAGTAAACACTCCAAGAACCTTCAAGTGACAGTTTAAGTTTCTTTTTAGCACTCACGCTTCCCGGTCGCGCCAGGCTATACCTCCATCTTTTCGCCACCTTCATTAGCAACTGAAGAACGGTTGAATGTGCACAACGGATCTTTTTCGGAGATTAGTCAGGCCCGACCTCGAACTGATGGACATGGACTCCCAGTCAAGATCGTTGTACCATTCTGACGTCCCAATCGAGGTCTGGAAATCGCATGAGTCGCAGCGTACGTTTGCCCCCAAAGGCCCCCCAGTGAAAATCTGGGACAACGGGGCAGTACGTTGGATATCTGTAGACGTTGAAAAAGCCATGAGCCGAGCTATCGTGTGCTTTGCACATGTTTTCATGTGCTTTGCGCATGAGAGTCGACAGGTCTGTCAGTGCGAAGCAGATGGCCAGAAGTTAAAGGATTTGATGTGTCAGAATGCCACGCCCACGCATCTGTTGTGACATGAGGGGTCTAATTAAAAGACAACACCCATCTCATCTCATGTTTTAGCCACCTGTCCATTTTGCTATGGCACAGGAGCAAATGCCTGGCGGGAAAGGGAATCAGCAGATTCTTTTCTTTTGGCACCTTGACCGGTTTTGGTGGCATCCTATTCTTGAGCCATACCGCACCCTTGCTTAACAAACATGTAAGCAGCGGGGATCATGATTGTCCTTCACCAGGTGTTTTTTCTACCAGTTTCTATGCTAGCTCTTTGGAGGGTGGCCATGTTTCTACGATTTCAACTGAGACTTGACCCATATTGTATCCCTGAGCTGGCACTTGGCTGAGCAGCGTGCCCCTGCATGCCGCCATGTGCAAGGAAGGCGAGGGGAGTGGTACCCGGGAATCCGAGCATCTCAACTGAGCCGGGATTCGTCTCCTCAAAGGATTCGTCTCTCTTCACACGTCTCCTGTTGAAGCTCCGCCTTAACGTGACGGAAAGTCCAGCACAGTAAACTCAGTACTGCTTGGTCACAGTTGTTTGCCAAGGAACACGATGGGCGTTCGGGGCGGCGTTCGCGGCCAACCGCCGGGGCCATCTTCCTGGTTCGGGGCTTCAACGCCCCACCGCTGATTTCGGCGGTTTGGAACACATCAGGGGGAAACGGCGAAAGGAGGATTCGAGGAGATCTACAGGAACCGGAACCGTGTCTCTTGAGTCAGAATTTCTGGGTGGTGTTTTTCAGAGAACTTGATGTTCAACCTTTACTTGGGATGATTGAACCCACTGACTCATATCTTTCCAGTGAGTTGAAATTACCAACCAGGTTTGGATGTTTTCTTTGTCTTCACCCCCCAAAAGCATCAGGCCCATCAAGCAAAGGTGCGGAAGTCGGACATGTGGGCGCCGCCCCTGGGCCCTACATGGAGAGAGGATGGGTTGTGTCCCCAGGTCAAGGACCGGGTCTCATTGGGTTTAACATGATTTTTAGGATGTTTCACACAAAACGGTCCTTGTTCTCCGGCCGGTCCTTGGGTCTCCCAAAACCAAGCCCATCCCAAGGAGAACGAGAACTCGTTTTGGTCGAAACCCAAAGTGGCTCGAAAAGCTCCAGCAGCTCCCAACCCGCACGTCGATGCGGACAGTGCCTCGGACTGGTCGAGGTCGGCCGCGCGGTCGGTATCGTGGTGCTCCCGCGTAGGATGGCAGATTCCTTTGAGCCTTGAAGAGGTCCGAGAAGCAGCTGACAAAGGTGAGCTGTGGGCGGTGAAGGTGCGGGCTGCTGACTTCCGTTGACATGACGGAGCTTGAAACAGGATTGGTGCAAAAGACATTTCGCAAAACCGTGGACACATCACCATTGGTGAAGAAGTTGTCATCCGTTGTTGCAACTTCCAACTGAAAGAGTCCAATTGATCTTCAGTGAGGCCCTTGAACAGCTCCGGAAGCTTGAGCGCTGCGCTAACGATCCAGTGCTGCTCGGTTTACAAGGCTTTGGGTGATCTCCTCATGGAGTCTCTCCGACCCCAAGTAGCGACAGCATCCCTTGAAGTAGAAGGACCCTACCTGAAAAGGCACGCCCAGAGGTGTGATTTTTGGCGGCCTCCTGGTTGAGACCGATATGTGCCGCGTCGACAGGTCTCAAGGACATGGTGAAACACATACGCCCTTAAGCTCTCTGCATTGTGGCAAAGAGAGATGATCATACACCTAGCGCATCCGACGGGTGTCCATTGGAGACCTCTATATATATATATATGCAGTGTAGGGTTGTCGATTGATGACCCCTTGGAAGCCGCTGGCAGAGACCAATGTCTTGGGAACTACTGTATCAATCATCGAAGAATGAGAATCCTGATGTTGCTGAAGAGACTCAAACCACAACACGTCTCGTCCGCCCATTTTCCATCTTTAACGATGGAGACCCATATCGGGAGGTCTGCACAGATTCAAGGATTGCGCATGCCACATCATTCTGCTCTCCGTCTAGGAACAAGAAGCTACTAAGATCTACTAGGTGGAGGCCAGTGGAGGCCATCGCTATTAGATTGGAGGCCATCGCTACTAGTAACAAGAAGCTACTAGATGTCATCATTCTATTAGGACCCGAGCTCACCACAGAGGTGGCGAACCTTTCTTCACTCTGCCGCGCGCGCGCGCGCGCGTTCACCGTGCGATCGCTGGTTGGACCGGTCCGATTCTGGTGTGGTGAGCTGGTGGGTCGAAACTGAGAGATAAGTCTCCGCCACGGTGGTGTGCACATCCAAACCCTGAGAAACCTGACCAGGGCCATGGGCCATGGGATCAAGACGTGCGGATGGAGGAATGGAGTCGGACATCGGCGACATCTATCAGATCTGACGATGCATGTCTGACGGCTCATCAAGCAAAAATGGTAGGTGCTTCTGTTCATGTTTGGGACATATTCACGAACTTCCGGCCAACCACAAGGACAGTCCCCTTAGGGTTCCTTCAAAAGACCCAAATGGAGGTGTATATGACAAGTTGTGACAAGCATTCTAGTAGGGAGGGGATGTGCTTCATCAACAGTCCACAGGACTTCGGACAAGGACACATCCGCGACCCCCCCCAAAAACCTCGACCTCGACCTACCTCGACCTACCTCGACCTACCTCGACCTACCTCGA